CTGCTATGAGGCAGTGTTACATGGCTTCACCATCCATAATCGTTAATTTTTATTCTTCAGTCCAACAAGATACAATTCGTCCCATATTTTGAGATAGTAAAGTAAAACTCTGTTAAATATCAAAATCTCACAAACCTACTCGCATGAAAGTGTAAATCCGTTTGTGTTAACCGAACATTTCGATTCTTCAATCTCTGCACAAATGGGAGCTGATCGACAATATTCACAATCATTTTGTTTTTGAAAATTCCGACAGCTTGCATCTGTAATTTACCAACAGTTTTGTTTAAAAAAAAAAAAAACATTAATTGCGCACTCTTACTTTCTGCAGCAATAACAGGAACACTAACAAACGTCAGGTTACCAGAATTTGACGATAATCGCAATATATAAGCTGTAGGATTTTCAAAACCTTCATAAGTTCCGCTGTAATTCACGCGTGCATTAGGTTCTATTAGACGGGACGTTGCATTAACCCGGCTACAACGGGCCGTTAAATTACGTATATTTACAAATATTTGTCTAAGCTCTCTTTCATAGAAACTCTCGTCTGGCATATTGCATGCATTTCTTGAAGAAAAATCTTGCGATACCAGGACATTTCGTACTGCCGCCCTTATCGGCTCAGGCGTACTAGTGGTCAAAACAAACGATGCAGAAGTACTTGACGTGCTTGGTGTTGACGTAATAAAAATTAACGATTATGGATGGTGAAGCCATGTAACACTGCCTCATAGCAGAAAAAATATTATTTTTTTTACCACGTTATAACTAAAACTCGAAAATATAGAGTAAGAACAAATTTTTTAACTATTTAAGATGTACCAAAGAACGAAAGTTTTTCAAACCAAATTATGAATATGATAATACCTGTGCACGAACATCATTTTTATGGTGGCCCCAAATGTTAGCAATAGCTCTTCTTGCATTTCTGATTGTGCTTTTACTTATTGGTATAGCTTTATTTTTGAGAAGAAGACAAAGAAAAAAAAACGGAAGGTAAGGCTATCCTCTTGTAACTAAAAGTTTTCAACTTCTTCGACGTTGCATTCAACTATAGTTTTGAAATGAAGAATGGCGTACTAGCAAATCCACCAACTAAAACATCTGAGTTTGAATACGTTGAAATGGAAAATATGAATGGAAAAGAAAAAAATATTAATCAACAGTAAGTAAAAGCACAATCAGAAATGCAAGAAGAGCTATTGCTAACATTTGGGGCCACCATAAAANTTTATGCTTTTTCAATAATTTACTGTATACCATATTGGCTTGAACAATATTACGATAGTGAAACACAAAGTTGTCGACTTACACCCATTGGGAAAAAAATATTAATCAACAGTAAGTAAACAAATCGTTTTGGTTGAGAGACAAAGACAGACGATATTCTGTATATCTGTTTTAGACCTAAACGGCCTCCTAATGCAAATATGACTCGTGACTATCATTTTGGTGTTTCGACTCCTCCAGTTAAAAGGTATGTTTATCATATAGAATTTATATCAAATTACTCGAAACAAGAAAAGTCAGTTTCGAAGATTTTAGATCAAACGTTCTCTTTTATTTAAAAAAATAACGAATAGAAGTTGAAAAACTCAGACATTTTGATAAATAAAAAAAAGAAAGTGGATCAAATATTCAACTGTTACGTTCCTTATTCTTTATTTAAGACGTCCACAGTACAGATTGCAATCTGAACCATTGACATATGTCACATCTCCAAATAGACCAATTTTTGATGATGAAGACGATACGGAAGGTATTTTTCATGAACAACCCGTGCTGTTGGACGATGAAACAACAAATAATATTGAAGCTATTCTATTTGATGATGTCAAACCGAAAGGTTTAACAACACGTTATTCGTATTCTTCAAGGCGAGTTATGGATAATTATCCAAATGATGATTTTTAAAACATAATATCTCGTTTGTATTTTAATATTTTTCATATAAGAACTATGTGTTCATCTTTTATTTTGCCATTTTTAATAAATTTATTTTCATTTTCTTGTTAAGATTATCGTATTACGTATGATACGCATACATTGCTTACTTCTAAATAATGAAGCAAAAAAGTTAAATCCCTGTAAAATTTACTACATAATTTTTCTTTTATCTATCTTTTTCGTTAAAAAACGAAAAATTAGTTTTATACTATTAAGCAAATTTAGTCGAATTTATATATTAAAACAGAGTCATTTTTTTATTTATCTATGAATATATGAAATCATAATTTTAAATAATTCTACATATTGACTAATTTATTACTCTAACTTCAACACATTATCTTATGTATTCAGATTTTTTTCATTATACATGGACATATGAAAATAATCTAAACAAATAGAAACTGAAAATTTGTGTACATGCAAAGCAATATTAGTATAGTAGTGATAAATATCGACAATACATGATTGGTGTCTAGATAACAACAACAATATTCTTCTTCAGACGCTAAATATGTGCATCACATTAGAAATGATACACATATGTGTGTCGAAAAATTGTCATCGAAAAACATAATTTTTTCTATCCATTTTATCTGACGGAAGGTATAAGGAAATATACCACTGCCAATATTGGCAATATAATAATTAGTATTATGGATAGGTTTTTGTTTAATCGTAAAACAGATATTTGATGTTAAAGATATCCAGTAACAAAGTCTAACCATGAAATGTAACCACAACTCGACTTATATCTAATATTGTACATTCACGTAAAAAGTAAATTTATTTACAATCTGTTCTTATATCATCACCAAAGCAAATATAACTCGGAAAATACAACTATAAGCACCACAAATTCTTAAAATAAACATCTTTCTACTATTGAAAAAAATATGTTAATCATTGTCACTTTTTTAAAAATTTTTCAACAATTATTAATTTGATTTTGTCATTAATAATTGATTTGTTTCTAAAAAATTTTCATTAATTTGTATACTTTTATGTTCAGTTAATACTAGTTGAATGTGTTTCACATGTTTTATTCAATAGTGGCACTGATTTTAATTCATTTATTCGAATTTTTTTATCAGAAAGTAATTGTTGTCGTGGCTTTTGTTGTTTATATGAACAGAATATTGCAATAAGAGTATTTCTAAATTTTTGACCAAAAAAACAGTAGAGTAAAAAGTTTGTTGAAGATTGAACAACTGTTAATAAATAAACAATAGCATTTAAAATATGAAATCTTTTTGTATTAGTTGCTGTTGAATAACTAATAGCTGTCCAAATGTTAAGAACTAATGTTGGTGATTGACATACAACGAAAACAATAATAACAGTGACTAGCATAGTGGTTATATGATTTTCTGTTGTCTTTTTAGCTCCTAGACTCAATTTTTTACGATTCATTTCAATTAAGGATTTTATAATAATACAATTAATAGCGGTTAAAGTAACGAACGGAATTAAATTGACAACAGGTATATAGATGTAAATGTGCCTAAAACAAAAGATTATTAGTACTCTTATATAGTGTGATTGATATACATACATATATTTGTATATTTTTTTCCCAATGGGTGTAAGTCGACAACTTTGTGTTTCACTATCGTAATATTGTTCAAGCCAATATGGTATACAGTAAATTATTGAAAAAGCATAAATAAAAAAGATAACTATTAATGTATTTCGTCTTGTACATATTCTTGCTGCTTTTAATGGATATTTAATAAATATTAGACGATCAATCGATACAGCAACAGTTAGAAAAATTAATGACAATAATATTGTATTTGATATTGCTGTCATAGGTATTTGAGCAATAATCAACTCGTATGGAAATGGTTTATCATTTAAATACATTTTATAGCCTAACATGTATTTAAGTGACTGTTGTGGTATAAATATTAACAAATAGAATATATTTGATGCCGACAGAGCAGTCAAATAGATATTTGTCGGTGTTGTACGCATTGTTTTTGAACACAAAACAATAATTGTAATGATATTTCCAACAATACCTAAAAACACAAAAGAAAATAATAAATTAACTACAATTTCAATTTCTATAAAATTATACATACCGCATATTCCAATAAAAAAGCTGATGTAACCTTGTAATATTAAACGTACTAAAAGTATCAAAGTTTCATCAGTATGTAAATGACTGCTACAATTCTCACAAAGAGATGAATTCATTTGTTCAACATTTCATATTCACTGCAGTCTGCTTTATCTAAAACTATAATCAAATACACAAATGTCAATTGAGTTAACTTCACAAAAATATTCTCTATTCTGCTCGAACACCATTAAGCTAACCGCTTACTACACTCTAAAAAAGTAATTCGACAGCTTGTCTCTCAGGATCATGGTTTTAAGTTAATACTTCCTTCACTAAAAAAAGTATTTTTTCTAACGTTTTTCGAGTTTATGGGCAAAGTTAAGAATAAAAATTTTAAAACCAATGCGGCTATCATGTTAAGAATTTTAATAAAACTTTTTATTAAAATTCTTAACATGATAGCCGCACTGGTTTTAAAATTTTTAGTATTTTTTCTAATATTATATTTAAAATAAGTAAGAGGGGCAAGCTATCGGATGTAACCACCGTCTTAATACCGACCTTTAGAAGAGAGTATGATGAGTGAGTAAGATTGAGGGTAAAGATGAGTGGGGCACGATCGAGTGCGATCTTAGTGACATTGTCACAAGTATATCGTTGTTTCTGAGTTGTTGAATGAATATGGTTCTGAAGGCTACTTAAACAGCATTACGATGATCGTCGAGGCTCACGCATTAAGTAAGGAATGCCTTCTCCCGAGATGGCTCATATGTTGATCTTGATCTCCTCTCTTTGGGTTTCAGTGGCGAGTTGGAGAACTATGGAAGGGGTACAGATCGTTGTGTATAGCTAACTTCGGTTTATCCGCTTATCGAGGGTTTGTCTTGGAGATTATCTTGAATACTAACTTGTAAAGCTATTTCTCGCCTCTCTCATCCCTGCCGTCCTATTCTCTTCCAATTTTAGATCTATAGCACACGCAGGATTTCTCAGATAGGAACATTTCATAACTCATCCTTTGGAGGAGAGAAGGAAAGTACTAGAAAATGGGGTTATATTCCTCCTCCCTACTCTTAGCCCCTCTCTCTCCTGGGTGAACTAGCATTAAGTTATTAAAGCTATATGTTAACCCCTACCCATGAATTTATGTTGGATGATGGCTTGATATTTTGAGGGTTCTATTGAATATAAACGTTGCAATGCATAAATCTAATAGTTTTAATACATTTATTAAACAGAACCCTCAAAAAATAATCTTTTACAAAACCTAAACTGGTTCCGAATTTGAGGCTTTGTACAGAACTTCTGTATTTCAGACGACAATTAATAATGTAGAATGACTTTTTCTATGTGGGAGTCGTCGACTGATCAGTAGTCATCTTTAGACTAAAGAGGTTCCGCATAAGTGCAAAATTGTCAATGTATAATTGAATAATCTAATAGTATCGTTTTTTGTTTATGCAGTAAGGAATTGTCGATGTATAATTGAATAATCTAATAGTATCATTTTTTATTTTTCTCTGTTTAGGTACTACGCATATCATGTACCAAATAACAAACTGTATTCTTCTTTCTTTTCTCGGTATCATACATATTTTCGAAACTGGAACCTGTTCTATCCCCTGAATAACAGAAAGGAACTTAAGATTGGACGAGGATAAATCATGTTCTTTTCAAGAACTAAAGCATTACTTCTTGATAACTGCTGTATATTGTTATTGTAAAAGCAAAAGATAAAATAAAAATCATTTGTTTTATTGAATATTTTATTTATGCATATCATATTTTTTTGTTAGACGAGGATATTTCAAGAATCAAATAAATCAATGAGAATAGAGAGAGTCTTCTTTGAGAAAGTTTCTTTAAATAATTAAAGTCATTTGTATCAAAGTTCTAGTAAAAAAGACAATTGATATTTGTTCTTTTCCATGACAATTATTCGATGACCTACACCCCTTATATGAGAATATTGAATGTAAGAGTAAGAGAAGATCAGCTGATCAGCTGAAAACTGTGCGAATCCAAAATAATTCACTTAAAGTGCTGTTTCTCTACTTATTTTCGTATCACACGCCTATACACCCCGGTGCGGGAGTTGTCTGATAAAACCAAGAGGGGAGAAGCACCACTTCACTTTACCTAGGTCCAAACTGTTGAAACGGTCCAAACACTTCAAGTTCACTTCAGATGAAGTGCAAGTGGTGAAGTGATGCTTTTTCTTCCTTGCTTCTCCCATCAGTGGATCGTATAATAGGATCGTACAAGATCATATACGATCATACAACTTCGTATGAAATCGTACAGTACGGGCCAGACGACAAATCAGATACCACGATTCGTATGTAGATCGTACATAATCGTATATGATTTCGTACGATTCGTATACGATCTTGTACGATCAGATAGTACGATTCAATC